CGAAGTAGCCAGGACAAGAAATCACACCTTATAAGCGGAAGCCGCAGAGTATTGTTCGCAAGTTGTATGCTTCCATGTGATTTCATTCTCCGTAATAACCATAATGAGATAAACCTCATCCAATTGGACCAAAAGGAAGACGGTTTGGCAGATGTGCTCAATAGTCCAATTGTCGGGTGGCTTGATTTTGGAGAGCCATGCACCTCATTCATGGCCTCAGCCACTTTCCACTTATTTCTAGTGGACACATCGTAAATCAAAGGCGCAATCTCCCTAGGTCGCACCCCATGGGAGTCCCAGAAATCTGTCCGGTCCCACTTGCCTATGCTTATAATGATGGAGGTGTAGAATACATTGCCAATGATGACGATGGTGGAGATGTAGAACAAGTCAAGTTCTGCGTCATCACAAGGGTTTCCTATCCCACCCACGTTTTATTGGGTTCCTTCTTTCCATTCCAACCGGTTTTAGTTGGGTGCCGACTTGCAGATTCTTCCCGAGGGCCACACCTGCACAGCCGCACGTTCCACCCTTGGACGTAGGAGTGGAGCAAAATGTTCACCGGTAAATCCCGCGAGACTGTCCCTGCCTGATGCGGTGACCTAAGGCCAACCTCAGCGTGCGACCTCATCTTATCCGGCCTCGTTTGTTTGAGGCAAAACAAACGGATCTCATGGCTCAGCGCGCGACACCCTAGCCCCATCTTGTCTGTTTGATGTTCGGTCCGACTCATTTCAAACGCAAACATGCATCTGGTTTGGGTCCAGGCGGACAGCAAACGGATGCGCCGCTCGTCCGCATCGGGGCCGTGTGGCAGACGGTCACCTACCTCCCACCGCCCAACATAAATACGCACGCTTGGTCGGCCCCACCTATCATCCGCCCAAGCACGCGGTAGGCGTCCTTCTTAAATAGGAAGCCGTGAACCGGTCGCAGTCCACGCTCCCACTACAGCCGTGCGGCCTCCTCGCAACCCAACACCCAAACCCTAGCCCTTCCTTCCCTTTCCTCGAGTTCGTCGGTCACCGAAAGCCATGGGGTGGTGGAACACCGGCCGCAAGGGGGCGCACGATCGCGAGGCTGGCTCGTCCTCGGGCCACCGCAGCCGTGGCGTCAAAGACGAGCTCGGATCACCCCCACGGAGGGCCCCCGCGCCTCCCGCATTCATCATCGCCCCTACGGCCGCCGGCGAGCACGACCGACACTACATCCACGTGGATGTTTGCCGCTGTTATTGGGAGAAGAGGACGCCGCTCCCCTGAAGCGACGTTCATCTTCCCAATAACTGGCATTTGTCCACGAACCGGGTGCCGATCTCGCCGGTCCCGACGAGCGGACGTGGGTGCCGCGAGGAGATCGAATGCCGCCGCTGCCTCCTGCCAGACGACCTCTACTACGACCCCAGGTACGCCGTCGACCCCAGGACACTTGGTTGCGAGACGAGCACAACACCCGGCGTGCGTCCTTCTTTGTCGGCACCTCATCGGGGCCGTGGCGACCACGTAAGCGCCGCACGCGTGCTCCGAGCCCTCCCCACGCGCGCGGGCGTACGCGGGTGCGCGGCATCACGCCGATGCCA